CTTAGTAATCATGAAATTATTATATAAAAATGTAATTTTCTATTTTGTGATGACACTTATTTGACAAATATATTCAAACAAAAACCTAAAACCTAAAAAGATCATAACAGACCCTAATAGAAATAAGATAATATAATTGTATTAATGCATGTCATATGTATATCTTGTTTTGATAGTTACTTGAATGAATTACTACTATGTTTTATATCATATTTAAATTTAATACTGTATGTATCAATATCTAGTTTTTTCTTACCTCACCAGATTATAATAATATGATATTATTTATATATTATTCTATTCATAGACTTATATTATAATACTAGTTAATTGGTTGATTATACCCTAATACCTCTAACCCTACATTTGAAAGCTATGATTATACTCTGAAAAGTAAGTCTTGCCAATCAAATTTTTACAGCCACATGTAACACCTGTTGCACAGCCAGGTTCCCTTTTTGAATGGCAGGAACTATAAGTCAGTTAAAGTAAATTATATGAAGAAGCATAATATATTATACTGATATAGTATACTACAAACAAAAACATTTCCCCGATGGCGGATACAATATTTGTGCATTATGTCAAATGGTACCTAAATGTTTGAATTTAGTAAAACCAGCATTAATCTGGAAGTTTTAGGTGCATACTGAGAGAATGATAAGAGCATACTAAGAAGGTATTGCTTATAGTACCCTAGACTTTAGAGAGAAGGTTACCAAAATATATAGAAGTCATTGTAGAGTTTCAGACTCTCAAACTATTGTATATAATTAATATCTCTTACAATAGTTACACTTTTTCATAGTCAATCACTCATTGTCTTGGCAATTATTTGCACAGCCACTGTTGCATTTGACTGTGCCACATAGTTGACGGTCTTCCCTTCTTGAACCCATACTAGATTTGGCTTTTGGACTTCCAGAGACATACTCGTAACTTCTCCCCCAGCAAGAATTTTATGTAAGATGTGGCTGACAGGAGAGGGTGTGTATAACACATCATGGTTGGGGCGTCAGTTTAAAATGGGTAAGGAGATTGATGGGCTGGCCGTCAAGGGGTGAGCGACTCAACCCCGGTTGGCTTGGCTACATTTTGGCCGACAGGTTTGAATAAATAGGGATCTGCACGACCCACACCGATTCCTCTCTCTTCCTGTCTCACTCCTTCCTCTCTCTCTTTCCTCCACCCCGCTTTTTGCCCCCGCTCTCGCTTCCATTTCCCTTCCCGTTTTTTCTTTTCTTTCCCCTCTCCCTTTACTCCCCCTTACTTAGCCCCACTATTAGCGTTGTTGGCGCTAAGTCACGGAAAGCTGTGCCAGGGCACAACGCCTCAGATCGATGTGCCCGGCACGGCACTATGTAGTGCCCAGTCAATCCACATACAATTAAAATGATTCCTCTAAGGGGAAAGACATGAGAAACTATCTACAGGTCCAATTCACACCAAATATCACCCATTTCCCATCCCCTGTGGGTCCTTGCCCCACTGAAGTGCCAGAATATTGGCCATTTTTTTGACAATCATATTGTGCCACTAGCAGGTTGTGCCATCACCTAAGGCTCTGTTTGGCGGGAACGGAACCGTTTGAGACTGTTCAATTTACTCATACAAAATGACCGTTACGAAACGGAAGGGTAAGAAAATTTGTATGGGGAACGGAACGGAACGGACGTGAACGGTCGTATCCAAACAGACCCTAATCTCACTACACGCTGGCATTTCGTAGTGCCGTGCCAGGCACATTGGCACGGCACAAGGCACTTATAGTGCTAACAACGCTCCCCACTATGTTCTGTATCATACAAGGCTTGCCATGATGCTCGTCGGCTCGAGACCTCTGGGCGGCCTGAGATTCGCAAACCAGGAAACCAAGCAACCAACCCAGCCAACCACCCAACCGATAAAGGAGCCTACCAAAGGGACTAAGGATCGACTTGTAGGTTGACTTTTTTCGTCCTTCCTTTTTTTTTTCCTTTTTTTTTGCCTTTTTTCAATTTCTTTTTTCTTAACTCCTAAATAGTGGGAATGGCTCTCAGAGGTTGAGGCTCGCTTTGGTAGTCTTCTCAAGGTCTCTCTAGTTTTTCTTAGTCTAGTTTACAGCTTACTGAGTCTGGCGATAGGACGTCTATGAATGTGAGGTTGGACTCAGAACAAACCTTGCAACCCTAAAGGCTGGAATGCAACTAGTCAAGTGGGAGATTTCGGCATTCACAGCCGCTGCTATTACTATCTGCGGTGTAAGTCTTAGCTAATTGATTTTGAGTTCCACCCGTACTAATATAATCTTATAGGTGATTCTCTATTTCGTGGATAAATGGGACAAACATTGGCCCGCGTCAGTTGTCGCGATCCTTGTTGAAAAGAATGTGAGAAGGACTCCTCAAAATCTTAATGGTGTCTTACTAATATAACCGAAAGCTTGTACCAGCTGCCCCGCGACTTCACACAACCACTGAGGCTTTGGCTCCAACCCCGCCCGCTAAGACCCCGGCAGACAAGTAAGGCCTGGCCCTCGTGGCCCAAGGCAAGAACAAAATATCAGGATAGATATCCAGATAGGGGGTGTTTTTAAGTTTTTTTCGCATTTAGGATGCTTTCTTTTTATAGAAGAACTGGCATTAGGCCATGGGTTGGGAGGCGGGTTAAAATAAAATTAAAAAAAAAGGGGGGGGGGTTGGCGTCGGGTTTGTCGACATTCGGGATGGCTTTTTTTTTTCATAGAAGAACTGGCATTTTACCCTGGGTCAGGAGGCTGGCTAAAATAAAATAAAAAAATGGTTTAATATCTTTGGTCCTGTAAATCTGATAGAACAGGAAAAATGACAAGCAACGGGAATTCAGATTTTCCCTATCAATTACATCAAATGTCCTTGAAAAAGGAATCTATTGTATTTCATCCCTTCCATTGATTTCGCGACTGTGCTCAGCTTTAGCGAGAGCAAGGCTAAGCAAGGCGCAATACCGGACCGAGTACTCGTACTCCTCTGACCACAATCCAGCAAAATTCAAGGTTGTGTGGCGCTTGTGATTCTTGGCCAAGAGATAGGATTTTCGGCTGGGAAGGAGAGGTGTCCTCGAGGGTTGTTCTGGAGAGTATGTAGACAATCTCGTTTCTGTCATGGCCATGCTAATCAGTACTTTAAGGTTGTGTTGGGCTCAGAATGCACGAACTGAGTACCACTCAGCATGGCCATGATCGAAGTAAGATCTTTTGTATACATGTAGTCCTGGTTCCCCAGTTGGGTAGATGCTCAAGAGCCTGCTATCATCATTGCTTCCTAGATGACACCTAGCTCTACTTGCCACTTACCATCTACTAGTAGTATTCGGTGATTCCAGCACTAATGCAATGGTAAAAAGCGCGGAAATTCGGCATCCAACGAAGGGATACTGGACCGTTTTCAATTTCTCCCACTATCGATCGCGCTGTAAGAACTGGTATTCGGATGCAGAGTAACAGAATAAAGTAAGATGGAGTATGGGTCATACAGTTCTTGGCTTAGCTCTGATAATACTATCGACTCTCAGCAACATTTCGGTAGCTTCAGAGGTGGAAGAAACTATGGCTCTCTTAAACTTATAGCATTTAATTTGTGGGATATATAATCAGTTTTAAATCGGGTTTTCCAATGCATGGAATATATTACTACTCCAAGTTCTCTCATGTTGCTAACACGCCCCCCTAGATGGTACAAATCCAGCCCAGAACTAGAAATTCCATTGTAGATAGCAGCTCTAAGTTTGGAAACAAGCTCAGTAAAGTCAGGTGACAAAAAATGTGGGCCAGTGGCTATTTTATACCAAAAACAGTCGTTTTCTGTGCTGTGCGGGAACTAATGATGCCCAACGTAATTCTATATTATTAGTAGTCTCCCAATTCTGTAAAATTTCCAACCCCCTCTCTGTTGCAATGTGATCTCCACCTGTCCCTTTAGTCTTCTTTGACCTAAAATGCAGCAACCGAGTTGGTTACTAGTGAGGAAATAGTAGTAAAGAGGACTCGGATCCGCGTAAAACTGCAATGGGTTAGTTTCTTTTCTCTAGTGCTCTAAAAAAGAGGTGTTGTGGTAAACATGCGCAGATTCCCAAGACAACGCTTTCCGATGTTTCTCCGCTGGCATTAGTCCCACCAGACAAGTGACCCGGGGGTCAGGTACTATACTATCCCTTGGGCGGTGTGAAACAGTAAAATTTGTTGCCAGGTGGATGAGTGACTTTGCCATTGTGGTCAAGTCACCCGGCCACCTGCAGGGTTTTTACTTCTACCAATGAGAGCTCGATTAAAACTGTGGACAAGTCACTCAGCCCCCTGGCAACGGATTTGACTGTTTCACACCGTCCAAGGGATAGGAGTGTCAGTTAAACATTATTTCCCATTGACGAATGGGGGGGTAGCTGCTATAACTTATCGAGTTTTACAACCACATTACATGCATCCCGACGTTCCCCAACCCTCGGTACTTCGTAGGGGTCTGGTGTGGTTGCTAGCTTAGGTTTTCAGGGTACTGTACTGGGTCTTGCGCCTCTCTACTGCCGAAAAACCACTTTCTCGGGAAGCGCCACGAGGCCCGCCTCACAAACGATCTCCTATGAGAAACGGAGGTTGACGTGGAAGCAGCTTAGTAAGAGAGCAAACTGGCTTTTAGAATATTGGGTTGCGGTTAAGCCTAATATTTTTTGTAGATACCCCGCGCCAGTGGACGAACGGGTAGCACTTGGTCATCTGGTACCGGGATTTTGAATTGGGCTCATGGCATTGGCTTTCCTTATCAACTAGGCTTGGTTTCTTAGTGGTATGATAGTGTAGTGAGGGGGCAGAGCAGGAAGGGCTTGAGGAGGGTTCTAGGGAAGGCGTATTATCGGGCTTCAGGCCAACTTGAAGAGTACCTCCGCTAAACTTTAACATTTTTTCGCTCCCCCACCCCGGCCCCCAGCCCCCCATTTCCCTTGATCGGTTCTCTTCCGCACCCCCTATCCGGCGCTTCGAACTCCCGCTCTCTTAGACAGCATATCAAACACCGAAGGCAGAGAGCGGTAAAGCCAAGTTCAGGGGTCCTTTTTGATCTCATTATTTATTCCTTAGATTCTCTCCTTATCCTGGCTCTCCTCTTTATCTCAATTAACTATTATAGGCTTTGCAACTCCTACTACCACCACAGCCACCAATAGTCCAGGCTTCGGATCCTAATTCCTCTTGCAACCTCTTCTGCTAAACAGAAACATCTACAAGCGCCTCCTCGATATAAGCTGCGCGGTAATTTATAGCATCAACACAGAGGAGCCATCCTCCTACAACATCGACCGCGACACAGCCACTAGTTGAAAGTCTGCTAGGGCACCAAACGCCTGGAAGGCAGTGCCAGAGTGGTGAAAGTTGGACACGCGCCGCCGGTCAGCGGGCCGGAGTGGGCGGCGAGGGGTGATTCTCCGTTGGCGGCTTGCAGCTGGGTGGGATGGGGGCTTAATTATGATTTCTCCCCCGGGCATGCTAGGCAGATTTTAATGGCCCTCGGAGAGCCCGCTGGAGAGCCTCCTCAGCATAAAGGCTCGAGACTGATTTTGCTAGGGTCAGTGGGCATCGCTCACTCAAACTAGCCGGTGGAGCTGTAGGAAATATTCCCCAATCATTG